CATCCACGCCCCGTCATGGGCCACCCGCTCTAAACTCCAAGCACATAGAACTGAGCCACTCGAATTATCGAACACGCTAGCGTATGACACGTCGTCTACCACATTCGCGGTCGAGCTTAGTTTAGGAGTATCGCCTTGCGGCGATCGAGAGCAGAGTCATGGCTACCAGGCGAGAAGATGGAGCCCGCCAAGCAGTGGAGGCCCGCCAAGCAGCGGAGGCCCGCCAAGCAGCGGAGGACGCCAGGAACGAAGAACACGATAGCTCCCGCAGCGTCGACAAGAAAGAGCGCGCGGGTTGAAGCAGAAGAAGTCAACAGGAGTCCGGACGTCAGCTGCGAGGTGAAAGCAGGAGAGGGTTAGATAAAAGTCATGCGAGAGAGCGAAGAGTACGAGGTAGGCCAGCAGCAGGGAGCGCGCCTAGAACCATCGACCACGCCCGCGGACGACATCCCCCTGACCATCGCGCGAGCCCCCGAGGGGCGGCTCAGCGCATTACAGCAGCACCACTTCTGCTACTAGGGTCCCAGACCCGCTCAGGCACGTGATGAAATGATCATGTCCTCTGTCCGAAGACGAATATGGCCTTGTTTTGTGTTCCGAAAGTTTTTTTTGTCTTGTCTTGTGTCTGAATCGTTTCCTGTGTTGGGAATTCTGCGAAATGTGTGATGTTGGGATGAAAGAGAGAGTACGGTTGTCCCGAACGAGATAACTGAACGTGTGAGGGGTTATCAAGCCACCAACAGCACGTATGAGGGGATGTTATGCTTCCAAGAGTATAGTTGCCAATCGTGCAACGCAAAGAGTATGTAATATATTTTTTATCCCAACAAAAACAGTACGGTAACAAGAAACAAGATTGATGCGTCACTTTGTGGGACTACCACGTCACCACCGACACAACAGCAAAGCGTGGACATATTACGCATTTGAAGGACAGTCAGAATTCTTGACGCAAGCACGTAGGATTTCATGGCAAGTTTGTAGGAGATGTTGGGTAGAATTTCGCTGGAGAGAACAGCAATATGCGTGGCAGGACCTCGGCGAAAAGCGAGACTTGACCCAAGCCTGACGTTTTCCGACTACATCGCAGAGAAAAATAGTCAGAGGCATCACTTAGCCAAGAAGCGAGGTTGACCCAGAAACTAAATTCCCGACTAGGTCGTAGAGGACAGCAGTAAGAGCCAGTCCTCAGCATGACGCGGAGCAAGATCCACCAAATGCGTTCCTCGGAAGAAATCACACAAGACCATGTCAGTGGCACAACACGAAGTTTGAAGTTACACGGCGTGAGCAGAAGAGAAATTTTGGATGTCCAACTGTATTTTATTTTGTTTTGGTACAGCAGTCACCCCTGTGCAGAACCGGGGGGAGTGTTGTGGCATGTGATTCTCCTCAGGAGTGCTGTTTTATAAGGAACTGATTGTGCCACCATCTTCCCTTCCGAACGCGCGACCTGCCCTCCACCGCTGCCGAGTCAACCCTTCTGGAGCGACAATTAATTGTGGTCTCCCCCAACGAAGGCGGACGATTTACTGACGATGCTCTAGCCGCGGCCAGCCGGACCAAGAGCACAGAAGGCGACCGCGGCGGAGACGACCGAAAATCCGCGGGGGAGAAACAATGGCAGGGGCAGTGGTCCAATGCGCTGGGGTTCATGGCTGGAAAAGTAGGCGCATTAATGTTCATTTTGAGTTTGATTTAGTTTGAGGTTTGGGGTTTGTATTGTATGATTCAAGCTTGGGTTTGGTTTTTCAGATCTGATTGAAGTGTGGATGAGAGGATCAGAAGTAATGTTTTGAATTTCGGCACCTCTCGTATTGTTTCTCGGCTTGACTCCGACCCCTTCACAAAGAAGGGGGGCGGATCGTCGGAGCAGGGGGACAGGTTATATTCTTTCAAACGAAATGGCGTTGCTGACATTTCTTCTCCGAACATTAATGATATATTTTGAGTATTTCAGGGAGATATTTCTTCTTCGCGTTTTACCTGCGGACGAAGGTTTGGTGGATAAATGGAATAGTTTGTCTTAGGATTGCATACATCTTGGTAATGGTAGGATATCTAGATAGGCGGATTTAGAGACGCACCGAGATATTGTGACGAATTGGCGGTGAAAGGAAAGGCGTCTTTGAACGGCGTTCGTCATATTTTTCTGGATGAAAAGAGTTTGAGTTGAGAATTGTCAGAAGAGAGCGACGAGAGTGATTGGCGTGTGTTGGTATGCTATTTGGATACTTTTGTCGTGTCTGAAGTATTTTCGTTTTCTTGGTTTGATTGTGTTTTGGGATGAACTGGTATGAGAAGGATGACTCTGATATTTCCCGGAGCATGACGATGCATACGAGCAGGGGGGCTAATCGATATACTCGTAGCAGGGCATGCGGGTGGTATATTGCGTATACATATGCGGGTATTGCAATGACGAACTACGGAGGAACAAGAAGTTTCTCTATGTTTTNACGGCGTTCGTCATATTTTTCTGGATGAAAAGAGTTTGAGTTGAGAATTGTCAGAAGAGAGCGACGAGAGTGATTGGCGTGTGTTGGTATGCTATTTGGATACTTTTGTCGTGTCTGAAGTATTTTCGTTTTCTTGGTTTGATTGTGTTTTGGGATGAACTGGTATGAGAAGGATGACTCTGATATTTCCCGGAGCATGACGATGCATACGAGCAGGGGGGCTAATCGATATACTCGTAGCAGGGCATGCGGGTGGTATATTGCGTATACATATGCGGGTATTGCAATGACGAACTACGGAGGAACAAGAAGTTTCTCTATGTTTTCCTTGGGAGTTGTTGTTGTTGTTGTTTCTCACATTAGCTCTAAAAAAGAAAGATTGGGAGCCCGTGGTCTCAAAACCCGGCATACACGACCCCACGAAGAAACAGAAAAAAAATAGGGTACAATAAGCACTCGGAAGAGAAACAAAATGATAGAAAGAAAGACCAGCTACCGCACCAAACGAGAAAGAGCGTCGAGGAGACCGATCAAAATAAAATAAAAGGAGAACGGGGAACGCTTCCCACACCGCGCCGCCTGGAGTGTGGTAGATTGGTGGAGATTCATGAGGATTCGTTTTGGGTGTTTGAGCGTTATGCATGACTTGATGCCGTGATGGAATGACGAGCTCAAACACGCCCCCGATTAATACAACACGCATACAACACGTTTCCAAAAACGTTTTTGCCCATCCACGCCCCGTCATGGGCCACCCGCTCTAAACTCCAAGCACATAGAACTGGGCCACCCGAATTATCGAACAGCACGCGCCTTGCGCGAGGACCGCGGTGTTCTCTACTTCATCGCTCATATTCTTCCTATGCCAGTGGACCGTTCAGGCACGAATGCAGAGATTAACCACGAGAGACTTGGTGGGTTGAGGAGGGAGATCTACTTGCAGGAGCGAGATCGACTTCAAACGAGAGTTCCGCCGCGTTACTGGAGAAAGATCCACTGATCCACTTCAAACGAGAGTTCCGCCGCGGTAGCCGCGTTAGGTCCGCCTCCGCCCGCCGTCGGAAGCGGCGGAACTCGAGTGCGGGGTGTTGGTGACGTGTGTTCGTGATTGTGGTCTGCTGGTGGTTTGTTGGTCGAATAGCCCAGCCATTTTAAAGGGTAGGCGAGAGTAAGATCGGGTACCCCTCCGGGGGGTGAGTAGCCAAGATCGGGTACACCCGGTGGGAATAAGCTCAAGGCCGGGTAGGGGTGGGCGTCGGCCAATCAGATGGCGCCAGGAGGGCGGTGCCGACTATGAAAAACAAGCGTACCCGATAACGGCCGGATTGGGGCCGGGTGTACCCGATTTCGGCAACTCCTCTTTTATTAATAGCATCGACCGCGCTAACCGGCTGACCAATGAAAAGACGTCAGTCTTGTAGCAGTGCGGTTGAAAGCACAAAACATTTACCGTAGACATACAGGTAACCTTTCGCTCACGCTATGGATTCATTGCCAATCTATCTTAGACTTATTTCTGCAGACAGAGGTGGATTTGTTGTGTGATATTAAGAAAAAAAAAAACTTCTATTTGCCATGAAGTGGGACCCCGTGAGGGGGCAGCGTGTGTGTGTGTGATGTCGTACCACTCAATTGGCATCCTCCACAGCTCACGCATTTCTTCGCGTCTACACCCAAGACTCAGTATTGCCAGAGAGAGAGACGCTTTTCCGCACTAGTCCTCTAGTGTAGTGTCCTGATGATCTGGGGTGTAACACGATGCAGCCAGTTTATCATACCGGTGCTGCTGTCACGTGCGCATGCCTGCTGTGTATTATTCCCACACCGCCGTTGGCTTTTTTCTGGTGTTTGTTTGACGGTTGGCAGACCGCATCCCGGTCGCAACCGTGTACACACTCGTGTGACACGAATATGTCCGAAACATGCAGCTTGACTTTCTGCGTTGCTCTGCACTCTGCACCCGTTCTCCTGACGCCACCAAAGTTGTTCATCGCTCTGCCCCCCTCCTGACACCGCCATTGAGAGAATAAACATTTGTGGCACGCAGTTCGCTGATTGGCCAACGCCCCCTGCGGCGGAATTTAAAAAACAGCAAAAAAAATAGGGCACGATCAAAGATCCTTGGATGTCGGGTGACGTCATCCAAGGTGGATTCGAGGACAGCACGCTGGGAGATGTTGGGAAAATCAAGTCGTCTTCGAATGATGACCTCATCATCCTGGCTGATTACAGGAGAACGGCGGGGGATACAATAGATAGAGAGAGATGATGGATCCTCCGACCGTCCGATAGATCTCCGACGCGTTCAATCTTGGATTCGGGATGCGATAGCAAGGAATCTTTCCGGTCTTCAACCGATTGATGATGATATAGACAGCCCAAGCTTGGCGAAGAATACACCCTGCTGCCTCACGCCCACATCACTCTCCTCCTCGTGCTGGCTGCTCGAAGAGAGAAGAAGAGGTTCCGTGGCTCGTCGAGTTTTCGTGAGAGAGAAAGGAGTGTAGCATACAGCAGGGAGGGAAACAGGGCGCAACAACATCAGCCGGGTACATGGTTCGCCACAAGCGCTGCCTCGTCCGCCCTACTCGCTTCTACAGCAGTGCCCGGTCGCCGTTTCTTCCCCCCCACCGCCGCTTCCCCGGCTCTCTTTCTCTTCGGTCCTGAGATGGTCGTACTCTCTGCTTCTGCTTCCCTCGCGCGCTGGCGCTTCGCGGACGCTTCCGCCTCCTGCCTGTGCCATTTCCTCATGAACCATGCCGCCCCGTCCTCGACCTTGTTGTACCACACCTCCGAGTTCTTGGCGCTCTCTTTCCATTTCCCCCCTTCCTTTTCGTCTCCCATGTTGAAGGCCACGAGGTCCTCTCCTAGACGAGACACCCAGTCGCTCTCCTGCCCGCCCCGGTATCCCACGCCCCCCGCCATCGCTCCTATCAGGATGCGCTTGGGGAGGCGGCTGTCCTCCATGCGCATAACGAAGCCCGCGAAACACAGTCTCCGTTTGCGCACGGTGGCCTCGATGGTTTGCTCGCAGCCTGCCTGGATGAGGGCCTCGGCATAGGACAGGGGGCGGTCTGAGCGTTTGCGCTTGCTCCAGTCGATGCACCGTGTGAGGAACTGGCGGTGGGTCCCATTGAGCTTCGTGTAGTGCTCCGCTGTTAGGCTCCACGAGGCGCACCCATACAGGAGAGTCTCCACCACTTGAACCTGGAGTAGCCGGATCTTGAGCTGGCGGTTGGCCCGTCGCCTGTCGTACATCAAAGCCCTGTTCCGGCGGTAGCACTTCCACGCTCGGCAGCTGCGGCTCGTGATCTCCAGGTCGGCCTTCCCGTCCGCGGAGATGGTGCGCCCGAGGTACACAAATCGGTCTGTCTGCTTGTACGTCTGGCCGGCGGCGCTAACCGTGAACGGGCGTTCCTCGATCCCTTTTGGCAGCATGCACATGATCTCCGTCTTTGGCTCCGATACCATATGTCCGAACAGGCCGGCCACGCGCACGATGACCGACACAATTTTCTCGAGACTCTCCGGCGAGCGCGAGACGATGGCCGCGTCGTCAGCGTAGAGCATGGCCCACAAGGCCTGCGCGTCCGTCACCACCGTCGTCTTTTTCCCCGCCGACTTGCCCTTCTTGCCCGTGTACTCCACTTGTGTCCCGATCTTGACCATGTCCGCCGTCATCTTGGGGTCCTTGTCGGACTCGGCCACGGCAACCATGAGCATCGCGGCAAAGAACAAATTGAACAGCATCGGGGCCAGGTTGCATCCCTGTCGGAGGCCTTGGCCCACGTCGAACTACTCCGAGTATATGGGAGGCTGGTTTAGAGTTACTTGAGTTGAGTACTGACTTTCATGACACAAGTTTGTTAGGTGGAGTGGTGATTTCGATTAGTGTTTTCGGACACGATTCTTCATTGATTGCTTATATGCGGGATTGTGCTGGCTAGAACCCCAATCTTCAATCGGTGAATGATGCTGGCTCTCAGCGCAGCCGCCGCTCTATGATTGTTAACGTTGTCTACCTTCCGACAATGAGGCTGAGTCTTACGGTATGATTATTTCCGGATTGGATTTGGGGGGGGTCCTTCTCTGAGCCAAAAAAATAATTTGGGCGTCTTACGGGCAGGAAAATGGCATTTTGCAACAGCCCAAAATCCAACAGCGAAGTTTCCAACAGCGATTCCGGCCGTCCTGTTCGAAAATTGGCCCATTTTCCAACAGCGATCCTGTTGGAATATCGCTGTAAGAAATGGGGGGGGTGTACCCCCTGGTCACACCCCGATCGCGCCATAACGAGGAACTACACCGCCTGCTGGCCAAAGAGAGGCCAGTATCATGAGGCCATGCACAAACCCTCTGCAGGTATCTTAAATTCAGGGCGTTCTGCGTCGTGTTGGCCGCACACGAGCCGAAAACGTCAACCCTGCCACATTGCCCTGCTGACGTTCTTGCCTTTGGGCCGAAAAGAGCCGTTTTTGCGCCGGCTGCATGTGTGACCAGTTCAAAACGCATGCCGGAGAGAGGCCTTAAGCCGTCGACATCCACCAACTGCAGCCAATGGCGTGTGGTCATACACATACCCTCTGCTCGCGTCCCAGAAGCAAAGCGTATTGCCCAGTTTTGATTGCACACGGCCTGCAAACGTGAACGAACCAAAGCGTGTTGCGGTGCTGACTATCTATGTGGTACGTATTCTTGTTCCGCCGCGTGTTTGCTCCGTGTGTCACCCGCGACCAGTCAAAAACGCATGCCAGAGAAAGTCCTTTGGCCGACGACATCCACAAACAGCAGCCAGTGGCGTGTGGTCATACACATACACTCTGCTCGCGTCCCAGAAGCAGAGCGTATTGCCCAGTTTTGATTGCACACGGCCTGCAAACGTAAATAAATCGAGATGTGGTTCGGTGTTGCCTTCTTTGGACGTTGCTTTTTTTTTCTGCCGCTTGCTCCGAGTCTAGTGTGATCAGTGTACAACGTATGCTATCAGAGAAAGACCTTTGGTGGATGACATCCACGAACCGCAGCCACTGGCGTGCGATGATACACATGCCTCTGCAGGCGACCCATTTACAGGGCGCTCGGTGTCTTGTTGGTCGCGCACGAGCCAAAACCGTGTACTGAAGCAATTTGTGACTCACAAGAACATGCATCAGCCTCTTTTTTCCCTTCAGAAAAAAAAAATCCTCGAGGAACCGTATGTCAGGAAAAATCGTGCGTCGAGACCACCAGTAGTCGGACACGGTTTGACCTTTGAATACGATTGCAGCAACTAGTCTGCGTATCAGTAGAAAAGCATCCATCTCTCCGTGGCATGTTCTCTTGTTCTAGAAATATCTCGGAAGCATGCTAGATCAAGGTTGACCGGGACATCTACGCAGAACGTGTGGAGCTTCTGGAAGCCTTCTGGAAACTTCTGGTTCCTTCTGTAAGCTTCTGGAAGCGTTCTAGATCTAGGTTGCAGTTGATACTCTTCCAAAACGTAGGAGGGCTTCCAGAAGTCATTCTGGAAGCATTCTGGATCTTTCGTGTGATTGGCTTATTTGTCCGGTATTCGAGAAGAGTGGTGCAGTCCGAAGCTCACACACCTCTCTCACTCCTCTTCAGTACCAGCAACATCTGACTCGGGAGTCAGCAACTAATATCAGCATCTTCACATTTCCATTCCAAGTCTCTCGCGGTTGGAGACGCACAGAGTGTGAACCTCTAAGGTAGGCTACACAGCCTCCTGGCATCTGCAGCATCGTACTGCTGCTAGTGCACAGCGANTGTAAGCTTCTGGAAGCGTTCTAGATCTAGGTTGCAGTTGATACTCTTCCAAAACGTAGGAGGGCTTCCAGAAGTCATTCTGGAAGCATTCTGGATCTTTCGTGTGATTGGCTTATTTGTCCGGTATTCGAGAAGAGTGGTGCAGTCCGAAGCTCACACACCTCTCTCACTCCTCTTCAGTACCAGCAACATCTGACTCGGGAGTCAGC